GAAGTTGCTTCTTGCATCATCCTGTCGGTGATCTGATTAAGATTTTTTTTTGAGCAAGATCTGATTAAGCTGCAACGGCACGTGTCGTTGTTGCGTTTGCCGAATCGGTCAGGTAGCTAGGAGTCTTGGACGATACAGTAACTGTGTCCACTCCTTTTTCCTTACTGTTGTGATCGCGAGCTCCAAGTGGTGATGATATATAGCCACCAACCAGTAATCCTCCATGGCTAGCTTTACCACTCGTCACCGTGCAGTCGCTCTGAATGTGCAGCCGTGTCTGATAGATCATGTTTATACAGCGAACCATATTAAAATTCGCTTGGAGATCAAACATCAGTCGATACAAGAACATGCTTTGCTTGCTTGCTATTTGAAACCTCCTCGTCACAAAAGCGGGGATGCTTAGCTTAGCTGCTAACTCTGAAGGACTGAAGCCCCCGGTATCTGTGACGCCAATGTAGGGGTGTTTGCATAATTGGTGGCAGCAATCTCAATCCCAGCTAGCCTTCCAGGCCCCCGAGGCAGCTCCGGCCAGGAGCGAGGCCAACAACCGTTGAGACGACGACGACGATTGTGAAGTTGCAAAACCACGTCAAGGATTTCGATTTCATCCCGACGTGACCCGGCCGATCGATGCCCAGGTTTGCCAGCAGAAAGGTTTGGCAGATATGATGTGGAAACAATTAGTTTGGCAAGCACCCTGCTAATTCAAACCACACACAGGTAGTATACGTATGTACACAGATTCTGGCAGTGCGTGTGGCTCATATACGTGATGAACAATTACACGGTCTTCAATTCCTGCAGGCTTGCATTGACACGTAGGAGTGCGTGTACGTTCTTCTCGAATTATAGTTTGGCAGGCATCAACATTTCTGAATTTGTACCCAGGTTGGCAGGTTGCGTACAAGTACATGGCTCTTAACCACCGCTAGCTTAGTTAGCTGTACTTGATTCCTTGCTTCTTCGTTGTTGCCACTCACTGGCTACAACAAATAATAATCGTCGCCCAGCCAACTCGATCGAATAAAAGACGAGCAATGAAGTAGCTAGCTAGCCCTGTCATGTGCGTCTACGACGACCCAAAAGCACTGCACACTGCACTGCCGGGCGACAGCAACTTTTCCATGGCTTGGACGTATATATACAGAGCAGTCTCTTTCAGTTGTAGCCTGATCTCGATTGCAATTGAGAGAGACACAGAGTCTGCACCCGCCACCCGGCCACATGCATATTATCGTCGTCGCTGTCTCCTTCTTCTCATCTCATCTCTTGTTTGTTTTGTCATCTTCCACACCAACTAATGTCTGTGCAGTGTGACTATATCTCCATGACTCCATGCCATTTTTTGTGGGCCGATGACGTCTCAAATGGCCAGATCGAGATAGAGCTGCAGGCCGCGTTGCCAACACATGAGTTCTCATCTCATGTACGGAGTAGCTACTAGTAATTAAGTTAGCTATGCCATGCTTGCGTCGTGTTCAGAGGCTAGCAAATACTCCACAGGCTTGCTTTGTGCTTGTTGAACTTGCATGCATGCGAAACAGCTAGCTAGCTGTCAGACGCGAAAGGCTTGCGTGTGCACACAGGACCGGACCACAACGACGACATGCATGCATGCTCCATGCACCGGTGCAGTATGTAGCACGACGAGACTGTATGCTTGACTCGTACTTTTTTTTAATGAGCGAACAATATTTTTTTCTCAACAAATCAGATAGCAATACTTTCAGCAATGGATTATCAGCCAAACGAACAGGACGACTCGTGTACAGCCACCCGTCAAATCAAAGTTCTATACAGAAGAGTATGTAGCACTCCCTCCGTACGCCCCAACTATAAAGCATCTTAATTCTTTTTAGAGAGGCAAAGCTCTAAAATTGAACCAAATTTATATTTTTATAGTATGGCTATTTGAGATGTTTTGACTCTTTAATAAAAAAGTTAAAATATAAGAGAACAGACGGAGTATCAAGCAGGGCGTGGCACGTGTGTGTATATATATATATATATATATATATATAGTGGTCAAGTTAGTTCGTTCACGTACGTACTAGGGACGCAACGTAGCAGCCCAGCCCAGCCCTGCAACCACCAGCTGCATGCGATGCGATGCGATACGATAGGATGCCAAAGGGTCAAATCTATATATCCAAGTAGGGATGCAAAGCGCGAGCGCGCAACTCCGGCCAACCACCGCAAAGAATCGAATAATCGATCGAGGAGTTATCACAGAGAGAGAGCTCAATCAGGCGCAGCCGGCGGCGGCGGTGGCGCCCGTGCATGTGACGAGCTGAGATGCGAGGCGGCTAACGCACCCGTGTACGCACGTGTCTCGCCGGCGACGCAACGAGGAGATACCGCCGCCCGGGCGCGACCGGTCACCGGTGGTTGGGTTTGTTGGTTACATGCAGTTTCCGGCCAGAGCCGTCACCTGCGTTGCATTGCATTGCATTGCTTTGCTTTGATTGGTCAATCTATCGACGCGGCGCCACTCTCTCTCTCTCGATGCACTGCACAGTGCACCGCGCGGTATCGCGGTTTTGAGCTAGAAGAGGCCGCCGCGCGTGGCGTGCGATCGATTTCACATGTTCCAGTTCGTTCGCCTAACTCAGAGTGCGTGCGTGCTTTATAATTTCCTGCTTCGGAGTTCATTCGGACTTGGAACTCTCAAATTCTCAACGCAAGGGATCCACCAAGTCCATCGATTGGGACGGTTATCGTTAGGTAGCGCTGGGATGGAAAAGACTGGTACGCGCTGACCGTTTTGCATGCCAAACTTTACTGCCTGTAAACCCGGCCGAACTGTCTATCCGAGACGCAACGGTAGTAGGATCAGGGCACTTATCTAACCATAAGATTTGCACTGAGATTCGTGCCCAGCAGGATTCTATTGTCTCTCTTCTGCTGGGCACAAATCTCAGTGCGAATCTTGTGGTCCACACAGCAGAGCATATGTATCCTATTAGCGAGGAGTCAAGGTTGAGGGACTTTTATTGGTCATTGTATCAAAGGTAGAAAAATGCTTCGAGTACAAATCAACCTGCTCTAGCTTACATTCACACCCAATATCCATGCACGATATCAAACTAGGCCACACTCAAGATCCAACTTTGAGCTACGTACAGTTACATGCAAACCAATTTATTGTTTATTTTCGAATGCATTTGACTCTCTCCGTCTCCATATGCAATTCGGCGGATGTACCATGAATCCTGCTGTCCATCCAAGAGACGTTTAATTTGCACTTGTAAGTGGAGCCACAACCACAACGCATTGAAGAATGAATAAGAGAGGAATTAACGGAAGGAGCAGGTAACATGCATGCAATGGAGAGATGAGCTTGTTGACAGATCGAGAGGGACCAAGCACCAACCACACTGTGCACTTGTAGCTCTATATACTTCGTGCAACTATTCTTGTGCACATCCGACCAATTGCTTCTTGTCTTGTTTGGCGCTCTCAGATAGAGTACTATACTAGTATGAGTCACCCTCTCTATTTCATTTCTTGGTTGCCCATGTATTTAAGGCCTTGTTTAGTTACTTCAAATAAAGTTTTTGATGTCACATCGGGTGTTATACGGGGTTGTTACATAGGGTGTTCGGATACTAATACAAAAATAAATTACAGAGTCCGTCTGTAAACCGCGAGACGAATTTATTAATCCTAATTAATCTATCATTAGCACATGTGTGTACTGTAGCACTTTGTTGTCAAATTATGGACTAATTAGACTTAAAAGATTCGTCTCGCAAATTACTCGTAAACTGTGTAATTAATTATTTTTTAGTCTATATTTAATACTCTATGCAGGTGTCAAACATTCGATGTGATAAGGTGTAAAGTTTTTGGGAGGAACAAAATAAGGCATAAGTAAAAGGCATGCACTGTTGAATCAACCTGTAAATTGCTACAAGCCGACAACTGCTTCTTTATTTGTCACCATGTATACCTAGTTTAGAAGAAAGCATTTATTATTAGCATCTGACTACACCTACTTTCCTTCAAACAGGTTCGATCCAACTTTCGAAATTCTGGCCATCAGTAAAAAAAAACTATTTTAAAAATGTGAAAACATAAAACCATGGATGTGATTGTTTTTATTTTCTTCTTTTTTTTTAAACTTCCGTGGATAGTAAAAGGTAACTATTATAAAAATGTTATAATAAAACATCTTTCAAATTAAAGCAACATATAATGGTTTACCATGGAAAAACCAACTAATAGTTAACTGTGTAGTTTGGTGGTAAGTAAAACCTTAGCTGGTTCATTAACTGAGGAACCAAACATGATCTTAGCTAATTTTTAGCAGCTTACTATTAGCTGTATTTGAGTTGAAACAGACCCTGAATGCCCATGACCGGAAGGGAATATATTGCGACCCCACGAAATGATTTACTAGTACTAATCAGTGACACGTGGGAAAACACCAATTCAAGAAATCAATTATTGACCAAGTTTACACAGAATTGATTGGCCTACGTACGCCGGTTGAAGATAATGACGCAGCATACCTATGCATCCATAATAAACAAGTATATATGCGTGTGTTGTATATTACAAATATTTTCTCTGCGTGCTATAGCTTATACTATACCAGCTAGCAGCAATGAATTCTACACCATTTTTCTGAACCTGGAAGACTTGAATTAATCCAAGCGCTCCAACCTTGACGTGTCAAATTAAATAAAGCTAGCTTTCTACACGCAGGAGCAGGACTAGTACTGGAAGATGCACGGCTGCAGGTGCCAAAACGGCGCACGTCTGCCACCAGAAGCTGAAACTGACGCTAGCGGCCATAGAAATCCGCAGACTCTTTCATTCGGCAGCGACCGCGCCGCCCTGTCCCTGCCTGTGCGACGACTCGATCGTCTCTCTCGGCAAGTCCTTATAACCCCGGCCGGACGCAGGAGTGAGACAAATGCCGGCCACAACGACCTAGCTAGCGAGTTCGATCGCGTCCGTTCCACACCGACCACCGGCCGACGGAGCGCGGCATGGCGGCCTCCACCAAACTGCCCGTCCTGAAGGGGATCGGCGGCATGGACAGCGATGACGTCGCGGTGGCGGGCGGAAAGAAGGCGGGCAGGTGGGGGTTCGTGCAGTTCTTCTTCGCGCTCGCCATCGTCCTCTGCGTGCTCCTCTACGCGCCGCGCGTCCTCGTGATCAGCCCGTACGGGTACAGCATCGACGTCGGGCTCTTCGCGCCGACGACGACCTCTTCGTCGTCGGTGCCGCTGCAGCAGCGCGTTTCTGGCGGCGGCAATGCGGGAGGCGACGGCGGCCGCGTCCGTGAGGTGGTCCTTGACAACGAGGTGCACTCCCCGTGCTCGTCCATGCGCGACCACACCATCTGCTGCGACCGCTCGAGCGTGCACACCGACGTGTGCTTCATGTCCGGCGACGTGCGCACGGACGCCGCGACGCTGTCGCTCCTGCTGTTCCCGCCGCACCAGCACCGGCATGATCAGGCGCGGAACGGCACGTCGGAGGAGGAGAGGGTGCGGCCCTACCCGCGGAAGTGGGAGAGCTTCATCATGGACAAGGTCCCCGAGGTGCGGCTCCGTGTGGTGGCGCCGCGGCGGCCGGAGGAGCACCGGTGCGACGTTCGGCACGACGCGCCGTTGCTCGTCATGTCCGCGGGGGGCTACACCGGCAACCTGTTCCACGCATTCAACGACGGGTTCCTGCCGTCGTGGGTGACGGTGCAGCACCTCCGCCGCCGCGTCGTGCTCGGGGTGCTCTCGTACAACCCCTGGTGGGCCGGCATGTTCAGCGAGGTCATCTCCGGCCTCTCCGACCACCACGTGGTTGACCTCCTCCACGACACGCGCACGCACTGCTTCCCGGGCGCCATCGTGGGGACACGCTACCACGGCATCCTCATCGTTGACCCCGCCAGGCTCCGCGACAACAAGACCATCGTCGACTTCCACCAGATGCTCGCCGACGCGTACGAGAAGCCGCCGCCACGGGAGACGACGACGACGACAGTACAGCAGCAGCAGGACCAGCAGCGCCGGCCAAGGCTGGGGATCGTGTCGCGCAAGGGTACGCGGGTGATCGAGAACCAGGCGGCGGTGGCGCGGCTGGCGTCGTCGGTGGGGTTCGACGTGGACATCCTGGAGACGGCCGACGGTCGGCCGCTCTCGGCGTGGTACGCGTCGCTGCGCGCCTGCGACGCGCTGGTGGGCGTGCACGGCGCGGACCTGACCAAGTTCCTGTTCCTGCGGCCGGGCCGCGCGTCGCTCACCCAGATCGCGCCGCTGGGGGTATCCCCGATCGCGCAGGAGGACTTCGGGGTCCCCGCCGCCCGGATGGGCCTGGCGTACGAGCAGTACGAGGTGCGCGCCGCCGAGAGCTCGCTGGCGCGCAAATACGCGGCGGACGACGCGGTGGTGGCCGACCCGGAGAAGGCGATGCGGGACAAGGGGTGGGACCTCGTGGCGCGCATCTACCTCGGCGGCCAGAACGTGACCCTCGACCTCGCCAGGTTCCGCCGGACGCTGGCGAGGATGCACGCGCACAGCGGCGCCCTCGGGAGAGGCGGTGATGGCCGGCCGCGACAGTTACGTGCTGCTGGCCGCCTGGCCGGCTAGTGACAGGTGCGTACTACGGACTGCCGTGCGCCGGGCCGGCGGCTGTGGCAGGGCATCGGGAGCTTGACAGGTGTTGAGGTGGTGACCATGCATGCATCGTCACCGCATTTTGGATGTGGGTGCAAGCAACAACAGAGGCGTGTGTTATTGTATGTATCCTTTGTCTTGTGCTGTGTGCGTGACGGGGTCGGAAATACCTGGAATGCCGGCGACCACTAACGTGACGGTAGCCTACCCGATCGAATGTCCGCATACATATGGTGTGATGCACCGTTGACACATACTGTATCTGCTACATTATAAATAACATATCTTTCTAATATCTGCATGCTCCGTACATGCATGCATACTCATTTTTTTGGGAGTATTATGTATGAGAATTTCTTTTATGAAGTCGTCTATACATATGGGTTTGATTCCCTATCTACCTACACTAACCTTAGAAGTTTTAGAGTCATTTTAATTTTTTTAGATAATTTCATATTTGCTTTGCTGACCCGATTGAATACATACTCCCTCCGCCGCAAAAAAATTGGAAGTCTTGGATATTAAGTTTGATCAAATATGTATAAAAACTACTAATATTTTATGACATGTAATAAATATTATTAAGATAATTATGTAATTTAATTTAAAAAAACTATTTAAAGATATAAATATTGGTACTATTTTTTCTATAACCAAGTCAAACTTATGATTGCTTCACTGCTCGGTATGCGAGCTTTTCATTCTTTTTGTGATGGAGGAAGTATATTAGTTCTAGGTTTCTAGCACATACTCCTAGTGCTCCCTTTCGTCCCAAAATAAATGAACTTCTAGAATCACTCTAAATCAAACTATTTCTAACTTTACACGGTGAAAATAGCAACCTTTAGGACATTAAATAAGTAGATTGTAAAAATATACTTCATGCTGTATCTAGTGATACTAGTTTCATGATATAAATATTGATTTTTTTCTATGAATTTGGTTGATTGTAAAATGCCTTGATCTAGGATAACTTTAAAAGTTGATTTATTTTGAAACGGATGACAAAGTAGATAAACAGTCGGCAAAAAAAAAAAATTAACCTACGTGCCTAAACCAAAAGTTGTAATGGGCAAGAACTAAGACAGATTTTTTTGGGAGTGGCTAGTTATCTGTCGAAAGGTTTTATGTGGTCAAATCTATCAGATTTTTTATAATTGTGACTAAGTAGACAGTTGTAGCAGAAATTTTAAAGCACAATCAAACAAATAGATTTCTGACGGATTTAGTAAAAAATCTGTCAACAGATAAATACTCCCTCCGTCTCAAACTATATATTTTTTTAACACAGTCTCGAACTATAAGTCATTCCAACTTTCTTGAAGGGTCAAAGCATCTCAAATTTGATCAAATTTATATAATAAAATACTAGCATTTATGATACAAAATAAGTATCATTGGATTCTTCATATTTTCAGAGTATACCTATTTGATATCATAACTATTTGTAATTCTCTCTAAAATTTTGAAAAAACTTAAAATGCTTTGACTTTTTAAAAATGTTGAACGGAGGGAGTAACAAAAGTCACTTTTTTTTTCTTCCTCGGAGAGTAAAGCGTCAACTGTGTAGTAGTACTCCAGATTCTACTACAGCATGCACACCGGCCGTACCGTTCTTTCCTGGATCTCACCGGTGCAGGAAGCTGGGCAGATTGCATGCATTGCCGTGCGGGGAATGTTCCCTGGTACTCGAATTGAATAAGCGTGATGAACAGAACAGTGCGTACAGCAGCCGGCGTACGAAAGTGCAAGTACAAGGTCAGTGGGCTTGGCCTGCGTGGCGTCCGGACGTGTACTGGATCTCCCGGTTTCCAGCTGGCCTGCGGGCGCGGCACCTGTAGCGCGAGCGGGACACCGCAACAAGAACTGCCGGCCCAGCTGGGCTTGCTGGGTGGCTGGCGAGCATGGCTGCCCTTTCAATTCATCTCACCGAAAGGAAATAAATGAATGTGGTTCCGGGCTTGGGGCCCAGTACGGAAGCGCCTGGCCCAACTGATGCACATAGAGAGATAGTTGCAGTGGCACGGCTCGTGGTGCTATCCATGCTGACATAGGTGTCGGCATGTTTGGTTCTTGACTTAGTTAAATAAAAGAGAGTGGTGGTGTTCCAAAAAGCTAATTTAGTTTATTTTCTCATCCAGAAATTAATTAATAAGTTTTATAAAAAATGTCGTATATTAGATCCTTTAGATCCCCTTTTTTTTGACAAATAGATCCTTTTTGTAAGTTTTGGATCTATCTGACATCCGTGGTAATAAAAGGACAAGGTTTAGGCCACGTTTAGAGTGGAGGATTTTTTTTTCCGTTTCATTGTTTTTCATATGAAATTCCTACGTTCCAATTAGGCTTTTATCGCGCAATGCAAAAATTAATTATGTCGAGAATACATCGGAAAAGACTACCCTTGTCTTAGAACTCAAGCGTTTTTTTTCGGCGAGGATGTTGTCTTCAGTTTTCTTTGGATCCAGAGCTGTCGCTCCTAATTCCAGTTCCATTACGTACCTACATATCCAATCTGTTTTAAGTTGTAAGTCGTTTTAGTTTTATCCTTCCTAAATCTACACTGTGGTTCATAAGAAAAATCAAACTTCTCCAAATTATTGACTATTATGTTTTATAAAAAAATATAGAAATATATATAAACGTCTATCAAACTGTATTGATCAGATACATACCGTGCCGTGACCGTGAGTGTGCCGCGGAAGAAGCGAAAAGCTATTGAGGCACTGAGCGCAAGGCGGATGGAACGCCAATGCAGCAGGCGACGATACAGGCTGGAAACATTGAAAGGGCCTCCAGTTTACGGCAATGGGCTCATGCCTCAGCTGGGCCAATCGGCATATATACACGTATAACTGCAGCCATGCAATAGTCATTTTCTTTTAGATATGACCAAAGTTTATTTATTTTAAGGACATATTTGATCCATTAGCACTAAAAATAAGTAGCTAAAATTAGAACTAGTGGATCTAAATAGAGTTGCTAATAAACATGCTAATTATTAACTGAAGAGCTACTAACTATTAGTTCTATTAGTAGTTTTGAATTAATAATAGGTGCTAATAGTTCATATACACTTTCAACTCACGGTCAAACCATCTATTAGCAGAAATAGCCCCCTAAAAATTAGATAACTAAAAAATAGCAGCTTTTAGATATTATTTAGCTAATTTTAGTGCTAATAGATTCAGACAGAGAATTTAGGGGTGTTTGGTTCCTCTCTTAAACTTTAGTCGATGTCCTATCGGATGTCTGGACACATACATGGAATATTAAATATAGACTAATTACGAAACTAATTGCACAGTTTGCGACTAATTTACGAGCGAATCTTTTAAGCCTAATTAGTCCATGATTTGACAATGTGTTGCTACAGTAAACATAGGCTAATGATGGATTGATTAGGCTTAATAAATTCGTCTCGTGGAGTACTGATGGATTCTGTAAATTATTTTTTTATTAGTATTCAAACACCACATGCAATACCCTCATGTGACATCTCCTATATTTTAATCACCAGATCAAACACCCCTTGTTCGATGGGCAGACATGACATGTACACATTGGGATCAGCCGACGTCATAATATGCATCACTCATGATGTCCACGGTTGTTATGGAGCGGGCCAACTAGCAATGAACAAGGTAGGCTTGGGCTCCACCTCCACGGAAAACAAACAAAAACAAAAGCTGGTGCTATTACGCGCTGGTATTCAAATCCAATGCTACTAGAGGCAAATATATATATATATATATATATATATATATATATATATATATATATATATATATATATATATATATATGACATGCAGCCTGAGCCCGTAAGCTCGGCACGAGGCTCATTTTTTGGCCCGGCTCGGTGGACAGCGGGGCCGGGCTGGCAAGGCCTAGAGGAGCAGGCCGTGCCTAGGCCTCACCCTAGGCACGTGGGCCAACACAGCACGGCCCGCTCCTCAGCAGTAGGTCCGGTGGCGGCCCGGTGACCTCAACGGCTCACCACCTCCCCCCGCTGGCCTCATTTGGCCCAGCCTAGCTCCCGTCGCACCCCTCCCCCCCGCTCCATATATAAGCCGGCGTCGTGGCTCCCCGCTCCCACCCCCAAACCCTAAATCACAAATCCCCCTCCCCTGCCACGGTGCCTCTCTCGTAGTCTCGCCTTCGCCTCTTGGCTCTCGCTCACACTCCGACTCTGACCGTTCCCGTCATCGATCGACCATCGTCCCTGACTCCGGTGACCTCACCACCGCTCCTATACCTCACCCTTAGTTCCCTGATCCTCTTCCTATCACCTCCCTTCTCCCTATCTCTCCTCTGCCCTTTCGGTGTCCATGTGAGTTCGTGTCCCTGTCTGTCCCTCCGCTGCCGCTAGCCCTCTGTGCTAATCGGTGTGTCATTGTCTCTGGATGGCCCTCGTCTTCTCCGGCACCAGGCTCCGGTTGCGCAGGTAACCCTAACCCTCGCCCTCTGTCTCTGATCTGTTCATCCTTCCCCTATTTCTGTAGGTCGGTTGTCGATGCCTCGTCGTCTAGCTGTGGCATAGATCAGGCAAGGCGGCCACGCGCACATTGAAGAACGGTGCTGGAGATCTGCCGTCCACAGCCGAGGGCGCCATGGCGGATGACGATGTCATTTATCCTATCACCGGCAATGAGGACCTGGTCGTGGTAGGGCTTTGTTGATCTCTCTGCTCTGATCGATCTAGATGGCGGTGGTGCAGGGGTGGCGACGATGGCAACAGGGATGCCAGTGGCCTCCAACACCAACAGCACTGATGATACTCCAACCTCCTCTGTCGATAAGCGTAAATATGGTGTCTGGGTTGATTTTGAAGAGATCTATGAGGTGGTGAATGGTAACAAGATTCTAACACAAGCTATCTGTAGATTGTGTAAGGCCACATTGAGTGCTAAATCTGCTGCTGGTACTGGTCATTTGATTAGGCACCAAAAATCTTATAGGAAAAAGACTGAT